CATGGCCAACATCATCACCATAAACATCGCCATCATCATCAACATCGGGACACCGACGGGACACCGGCGGGACACCGCGCGGCACCGGCTGCCAGAAGGGAGATTTTCGGTCCCGCCGCGCCTCAGCCAGAGGCGGGACATTTCTCGCCCGCCCAGGCAGCTTCGCCTCGCCCGCACTCACGGCACACACCAACACGAAACCGAAACCGATTTCCCGGTAGGGGGGGCTCTCCGTTCCACTTCGATCTCACCCCCTCACCTCCGATCCCCAACCCTCGCTACCCGCCCTCGTCGTCTTCGATCGTACATCCTTCGGGGGCATATCTTCCTTATCTGCCACGTGCATGTAGTGCAGCACTTAAAAAAAGGGAATAGAAGACGGGTGGACGGGGGAGCCTGAGAGAAATTAACATGAGAGCACAAGAGAAATTGGCATGAGGGGGGCAAGCAGCAGAAAACAAGAGGTATAACCAGACGGGCAGATCGGGTAGGCAGAACCATAGCGAGCAGATCGGGGAGGTGGGCCCAGGCGACCAGGTCGAACAGGCGGGTTGCTGAAGCGTGGGTCCTGCATAAATCGCGAGGAAGTCTCGAGCTATACCGCGATTCCTAAGATAATCATAAGAAAAGCCAAAAGAGAGTGCGACTCCTGAGCGCCGAGGGCGCATCGCCTGAACAAGTGGCACGCGCACCATGGCTCTTGCACAAAAGGGAGGGGGAATGAGGAGGAGAAGGAGGAGGAGGAGGAGGAGGAGGAGGAGGAGGAGGAGCCGCGCGTCGAGCGCCTCGAGCGCTGGCGACAGCCGCTTGCCGCTGCCGCCGCCATCATCTTGTCTTGTGTTCTCTCTGTCTTTTCACCCGTGGCTAGGCATCGACATTTTCCGCCTCATATCGAATCGAATCGAATCGAGGAGGAGGAGGAGGAGGAGGGAGGAGGAGGAGGACGAGGACGAGGAGGAGGGGAGGAGGAGGAGGAGGAGGAGGAGGAGGAGGAGGAGGAGGAGGAGGAGAAGGGGAGGAGGAGGAGGGGGGAGAGTAGGGACGAGACATCGGAGAAGGGTCGGGGGGCGGGACGGCGGGGGCGGTGCGACGCCGACATAAAATGGTCGGGGCGGAGGGGGGCGGGTGCAGTGGGCGGGCGAGGAAGGGGGGAGCGTCGCGGGCGCGGGGCGGCGGGGGCCGTGCGACGCCGAAATAAATTTGTCGGGGCGGAGGGGGGCGGGGTAGAAACGACATTGGACGGGGGGCGTTGCGACGCCGAAATACAGTGATCGGGGCGGAGGTGGTCATGCTGGTGGTGGCGATTGTTGGGGCGGGCGGGTGGGTGGAGGGGCGGGGGGACGGGGCGGCGGGGGCGGTGCGACGCCGAAATAAAGTGGTCGGGGCGAAGGGGGGCGGGGCACAGAGGGCACTGGGCAGCTGGGGAGGGGGGAAGGGTCGGGGGGGCGGGACGGCGGGGGCGGTGCGACGACGAAGTACAGCAGTCGGGATGGAGGACGGCGGGGTGGAGAGGGCTCTAGACGGGGGACCCGCGACCCACCCCGCGACCCGCCTGCGAATCGCTTGCGACCCACTCGCGACCCACCGCGCGACCCACCCGCAACCCACCTGCGACCCACCCACGACCCACGCGAGACCCACCCGCGACCCATGCGCGACCCACCCGCGACCCACCCGCGACCCACGCGCGACCCACGCCCCGCGACTTCTCCCCGCGACCCACCCGCGACTCGCCCGCAACCCACCCACGACCCACCCCGCGCCCGCCCCCTCACTCTTTTCCGCATCGGCGGGGCGCTACTTCAGAGTGAGGGGGCCGAACGGTCATTCACTGTCCCTGGGCGCGTGGCTCAGTGAGGTTATTGGTGGTGTTGTTGTTGCTGTTGCTGTTGCTGTTGGTGTTGGTGTTGGTGTTGTTGCTGTTGGTGTTGTTGGTGATGTTGTTGTTGTTGTTGTTGTTGTTGTTGTTGTTGTTGTTGGTGGTGGTGGTGGTGGTGGTGGTGGTGGTGGTGGTGGTGATCGTATTGGTGTTGTTGTGTTTGTTGTTTGTTATTTAATCGCTTCGCTCATTCCGCCGGCCCATACAGTCTCATGTCTGCCGTTTGCCCGAGGGCCTGGTGTCAATGCGGCGCTTTGGGGGTTCCTGGGGCCGCTTGGGGGACTCCTGGGGCGCTCGGGGGGGCATTTGGGGGGCCTCCTGGGGCCGCTTGGGGGACTCTTGGGGGCCTCCTGAGGGCCCCGTGGGGGCCTCTTGGGGCCTCTTAGGGGCCTCGTAGGGGCTTCTTAGGGCCGAGGGCTCGAAATGTTGTTTCGTGTTCCCTCTCTGGGGCCCCTTTGGGGGCGTTCTTGGGGCCCTCTTGGACCGTTTTGGAGGCTTCTTGGGCCGTCTTCGAGCCCTCTTGGGCCATCTTGGGGCCCTCTTGGGTGCCTCTTGGGCCCTCTTGGGGCGATCTTGGGGGCCTCTTGGGCCGTCTTGGGGCGTCGGGAAGCCGAAAAGGTGGAAGCTCCAAAATCTCTCAAAAACCTATGGAAAAACAATGATTTTTGCCTCCGGGGGCCCTATTGGGAGTGCTCTTGGAGGCCTCTTGGGGCGTCTGGGGGCTATCTTGGGCGTCTTGGAGCGATCTTGTGGCATGTCGGACCCCTCGTGTACCATCTTGGGGGCCTCTTGGGGGCCTCTTGGCCTTTCTTGGGGCTCTCGGGGACGTCTCGGAGCCCTGTTGGTGCGCTCATGGAGCGCTCGGGGGGACCCGGCCGGGACCCGGCCGGGACCCGGCCGGGACCCGGCCGGGACCCGGCCGGGACCCGGCCGGGGACCGGCCGGGACCTGGTCGGGGTACTTTTCGTCCGGGGACCCCCAGGGGCCGCCCCGCGCGCGCGAACTAGAAAATTGTTAACCAGTTACCGGAGATCTTAGCACGCCTCTGGCCCGTTGGGCCGGCGAATTTGTTGTTTGTTGTCGTCGTCCCCCCCGCGATCCACCCGCGATCCACCAGCGATCCACCTGCGACGCACTGGCGACCCACCCGCAACCCACCCCACGACCCACCCTCGACCCACCCGCGATTCACCCCGCGACCCGCCCGCGACCCGGCCCGCGACCCGGCCCGCGACCCACCCCACCCGCGACCCACCCGCGACCCACTTGCGACCCACCCCGCGACCCACCAACATTGCTCTAACGAACAAATCGGCGCCTGCGGCGGTCGTTGTATAATTTGTTTAGAAAAATGGCGCTTGCGGCGGGCTTCTTCAGAGCCCCGCAGACTGCCGACCTCCCCGCAACCCCCTCAGTCGTATCCGCAACTGCGGGGTGCTACGTATTACATTGTTGGCACTGCGGTGTCGACACTGCGTCTTGAAAAAGATAGAACTGCGTCGTTGAGTGTAGAGCCAAGACTCGGGAGGGCAAAAACTCACGTCGATTCTCAGGAAGAGATTGGAAAGTATGGACAGTGGGGGGAAGACGAAAATATGAAAAAGTATAAGCAATCCTGGGATTCGCGTGTGTGTGTGTGTGTTAATGTGTGTGTCCCAGGGCCCCTTTTAAAGACGCTGGAATAAGGGCCCCTTTTGGTTCAGGAGGGGCTCCAGTTTGGAGGGGCGCTCCTCAAATGTAGGCCGTGGAACCTACTCATGGCGGAGGCTCGCCGTGGCCAGAAGAAAAATAAAAAGGACCACAAAAGCCCCTTCGTTCCTTCTCCTGCGTCCCTAACGATGGCGCGAGGTTTGCATGTCGAGGTTAAGGGCAATCGAGCGAGGGGGAAAAAAAACACGGCCCCCTCGCCCTGTGAAGAAATCGCGACGGGCGGGTTTTCGCTAGGTTCGGCCTCCAGGGGCTCTCCCTGGGCCCCGGGACCGTCACAAAGCGATTCCGGAGGAAGAGGCGGCTCCGGGGAAGGGGTCCAGACCTTTGGGGGTCGACGCTGTGCAAAAATCACAACGTCGGGGGTCTGGGGAAGAAGGCGGGGTCGACTGCGCGGACGTTCGCGCGTAAGCTGCCCGCGAAAGGCTGCGCGCAAGCGCCCTCGCTTCAACGTGGCGTGCTGCGCTGGCGGCCCGCGCGAGCCACCGCATAAGGTCGCCGTGCCATCTCGCATAAGACCCTCTTCTTTTCGTCGCTCAAGCGGTGCCGGCTGGAGGTGGTCTTCGGGGTCTCCAGGATGCGGGGGTGTTTCTTCGGCGGGTACACGGGCGGCGTCCTCGAGGAAGAACAAGTTGCATAGACACAGATGTTCGGAGCTCCGCGCGGATTTCTTAGATCGGCGCTGGAACCCTTCCCGCGCGGACCTTCGAAAGCTTATGGTTATGCCGTGTGGTTCCTCTACACGAGCCAGAAGTCTTGAGAAAAAGCCGGGGTTTTCTTGGACTTCTGATTTTGCTTAAGACATTCGAGACTCTGGACTGGACCCTTAGCGCTTTCCTGGAGCTGTTGCTGTTCGCGGAACTCGCAGACCTGGAGCTGGGCCACTGGTTTCGAAAACGCTAAGGGCGAAGTCCGCTTTCTTAGCGTAAGATGTTGTTTTTTACACGCAGGGGTGCCTGAGATCCTGGCTTTGCAATTTTTCCGCAACGGGCATTGTCGCCCGGTTTCGGTCCCCAGGACCCTCACAGATCGATCCGACTCGGAAAATTGCGCAGCAAGATGGGGTCTGGGGCTCCAGTCGTGATTTTTCACGAGGTTGCAATTCTTTCGCAACGCCGGATCTCAGGGGTAGACATCCGGTCGGTCCGCGGCGCACCTTTAGAGGGACGAACAATAGCATCAATTCAGAAACTCGGAGGTCCGCGTAGATTTCTTGGATCAGCGCTGGACCCCCCACCCTGGCGCGCGGAGCGCGCCCGGGGCGGCGCCGGAGGCGCCGCCAGGGGGGCCCCAGCGCCGATCCGAGAAATCTGCGCGGACCTTTGAGTTGTTATGCTGATGTCCTTGCTCGTTCCCCCAATCCTTCCCTGCAGCGGCGGCTGGCGGCCGGCTCCCCGGACAAGCGCCCGCCGAGGGGCGCCGGCTGCTCGCGCTGCGAGGCCGACGCGCCTCGCTGCGGGCCCGCTCCGCGGAGCTGCGAGCGGACCTGGAGCGCCGCGAGGTGCCCCGGGCTCGCGGGGATTTCAGTATCGTTGCTAGCCGATCCCTGTCCCGGTCCCGGTCCCTAGCCCGAGCCCCACCATCCAGCCCCCTCAAATGGGGATGTGCCTCTCGAAACTCGAAGGGAACAGTTTATGCCCCCGTCTGGGGGAGTAAATCGGCGAGTGGGGCCCTGGCCGCGCCCGTGGGGATAGGGATCGGTTAAAGCTCATGGTTCCCTGATCCCAGACCCCCTCGCCCTGTGAAGAAATCGCGACGGGCGGGTTTTCGCTAGGTTCGGCCTCCAGGGGCTCTCCCTGGGCCCCGGGACCGTCACAAAGCGATTCCGGAGGAAGAAGCGGCTCCGGGGAAGGGGTCCAGACCTTTGGGGGTCGACGCTGTGCAAAAATCACAACGTCGGGGGTCTGGGGAAGAAGGCGGGGTCGACTGCGCGGACGTTCGCGCGTAAGCTGCCCGCGAAAGGCTGCGCGCAAGCGCCCTCGCTTCAACGTGGCGTGCTGCGCTGGCGGCCCGCGCGAGCCGCCGCAGAAGGTCGCCATGCCATCTCGCATAAGACCCTCTTCTCTTCGTCGCTCAAGTGGTGCCGGCTGGAGGTGGTCTTCGGGGTCTCCAGGATGCGGGGGTGTTCCTTCGGCGGGTACACGGGCGGCGTCCTCGAGGAAGAACAAGTTGCATAAACACGAATGTTCGGAGCTCCGCGCGGATTTTTTTCTTTCCTTAGAGTGTGCGGCCTCTGGGGCCCGTGCTCAGGCCCCAGGGGGCCTCCAGGGCCGACCCAGGGAACCTGGAGCCCGTTCTCGGGCCCCGGGCTCCTTGATCCGAAGACGAAAACCAGCGTCCACAAAACTTGTGGCGCTCCACGCGGATTTCTTGGATCCGCGCTGGGCCCCCCCCAGCGGCGCCTCCAGCGCCTCCGGCGCCGCCCCTTGCGCGCTCTGCGCGCCAGGGAGGGGGGGGTCCAGCGCAGATCCACGAAATCCGCGCGGAACGTCACAAGTTTATGCTGATGCCGTACTTTCTTCCCTGATCTCCGGCAATCTGATTTTGTCAAGCTGGGCGTCTTTTCTTCGCATTCGGCCTTCCAAGGCCCGTTCTCGGGCCCCGGGGCCACCGAGAATAGATCCGGGATGCAAAACCAATCCCAGGGAAGAGGTCGGGAGCCGTGGCGCCGCGGATTGAATAATAATTCCTAGCCCCCCCCCAGTTGCGGACAAGAGTGAGGGGGTGGCGGGGGCGTCGGCAGTCTGCGAGGCTCTGAAGAAGCCGCCGCAAGCGCCAGTTTTCTAAACAAATTATGCACGAACCGCCGCAGGCGCCGATTTGTTCGTTAGAGCAATGTTGGTGGGTCGCGGGGTGGGTCGCAAGTGGGTCGCGTGTGGGTCGCGGGTGGGTCGCGTGTGGGTCGCGGGCCGGATCGCGGGTGGATCCAGGGTGGGTCGCGGGTGGGTCGCGGGTGGATCGCGGGTGAGTCGCGGGCTGGGTCGCGGGGGAGACGACAACAACAAGCAACAAACAAGAAACAACAAACAAACAACAAGCAACATCAACAAAAACAACAGCAACAAATTCAACAACAACAACATTAACAACATTAACAACATTAACAACAACGACAACAACAACAACAGCAACAGCAACAACCACAACCACAACCACGACCACGACCACGACCACAGCCACAACCACAACAACCACAACATCACACAAGAAATAACGAACAACAAACAATAAAAGACAAACGACGAACGACAAACAACAAACACAAACACAACAGCATCAACAACAACAACAGCATCAGTGCAACAACAACAGCAGCAGCAACAACAACCGCCACAGCAGCAGCAACAACAACCACAACCACAACAACACAACAACAGCAGCATCAACAACAAAAGCAGCAGCATCAACAGCAACAACCACAACCACAACAACAGCAACAACAACAACAGCAGCAACAACAGTAACAATAACAATCCGCACCGCAGAACCTCACTTCAGCGACGCGCCCAGGGACAGTGAATGGCCGCTCGGCCCCCTCACTCTGATATCGGAGGATGTCTGGGTTGGACGCCCGAGTGATCTGGGAGTCGAAGAAATAGAAGAAGAAGAAGAAGAAGAAGAAGAAACGGCGTGAACATGAATGTTCGACGCTTCGCGCGGATTTCTTGAATCTGCGCTGGCCCCGGCGCCGCCAGGGGGTTCAGCGCAGATCCAGGAAATCCTTTCGGACCGTCGAAAGTGTGCGTGTGTGTTGTTTGTTCTTCCTCTAGGGATGATTCTGGTCCACGCGCAGGGGGGGATAGGAGGAGGGGGAAGGGTTCTTAGAAGCACCCCTGCTTCTTAGAAGGCGCGCGCCTTGTCTATAGGTGCAGGGCCGGCGCCTTCCAAGAAGCAGCCTTCTTCTGGAAAGCGCCTTTGCGCGCGCCGCCATGGCTCTGGTCAGCGGCAACTCCAGTGCGGACCCCCGAGGCAGGAGCCAGGAGCTACCCCTGACCACCCTCAGCCCCGATGACTCGGGAGCAGCTGGACGCCCGAATAATCTGGAATAGCTCTGGTCAGGAGCAAGTCTGGCTTGGGCCCCCGAGGCACGAATCAGGAACTACCCCTGACCACCCCCAGCCCTCATTGTTCGGTGCTCTCAGGGAGGGCCAGCTGAACTCGGTCAGGAGAAACTCTGCCAGACTGAACTCGGCCAGCTGAACTCGGCAAGACTGAACTCGGCCGGCTGGTCTCGGCCAGGCTGAGCTCCTCCACGCAGTATTCCGCCCGGGCCGAGCTCGGCCTGGCCGAGTTCAACCTGGCCGAGTTGCGCCTGGCCGAGTCTTCCACTGGGGGGAGGGGGGGGCCGCGCTCAGCTCCTCTCGAGGGGGCGAGGGAGGGCAGTCGAGACAACGGCGGCCCTCCCTGGCGGGTTTCGTCCTTTAGTGGCCCTTCTGGAGGCTCCCCGTGAGTGAGGCTGACAGTGCGAGCGTGAATGCGCGAGTGAGAGTGAGAGATGCGGGGGAGGACGAGGAGAAGGAGGAGGAGGAGGAGGAGGAGGAGGAGGAGGGGGAGAGAGAGAGAGAGGGAGGGGAGGAAGGGAGGAAGGGAGGAAGGGAGAGAGAGCGCAGAGTGCAGGAGAGGAAGGGAGAAAGGAGAGATACGAAGGACAGGGACGGGACTAGGTGGCCAGGTATTGCAGGTGGCAGTCGGAGCAAGTCGAGAGTACCAGGTGGTATATTGTTGGATTCGATTGACCCACAAAGCCATTGCAACATGAGCAGTGTGTCAGATGCGAGGCAGCTTGAATTTCGAACTACGCAAGCAGATTCAGCAGGGAGGGTGTTGCACGGTCACAGAAGAGTGCCCTCTGCAGCGTACATGCACTGTCGTTTGTCCGACATGGCAGTCCTGAGACAGCTAGTGTGAAGTCGGGCATGTCCCTCTACAGGTGGAATATTCAAAAAAAGTGAAAAATAGTAATAGCGGGACGATGTTTGAGTAGTTTTGAACATTTTGGGAACAAATCGAACAAAATCCGCCTATAGGAGGACATGCCCGACCTAAAGCTAGTGTGGCGAATCAGGTCACACATTGTCGGCATTTCCTCGCACCTGGCACTCCCACATGAGCGACGCAAAAAACGGTGTCGTCTGCGCCGACATTGGCTCGTAAGCTGCCCGCGTAAGCTCGCGCGCAAGCGCCCTGGTCTCCGATGTGGCGTGCCGCGCGGGCAGACCGCGTATGGTCGCTGCGTCATCTCGTTGAAGACCCGTTTTTGATCTTCGCTCACATGCCCGCCACGAGGCGAAACCGCCTGGGCACACGCCCTGAGAGCTCCCAGTTCCTGGCGGATCGACTCCAGCATCCTCCCGGCCGTCCCCTGGGCATACCTTGAAAAAGAGTTTGTGCCTTCTCGCGGGCCCGCCCGAGGAGCCTCCCAGCCCCCCCGTCGGCTTGCCCCGTGAGCGTGCCAACCCTTCCGAATCCCCGACCACCCTCCCAACGTTCCCCGAGGGCTTGCCCCAAGGTCCCAGCTCTCCACGTGAGCAGCGGAAAAAAACGGGGTCGTCTGCGCCGACATCGGCGCGTAAGCTTCCTGCGTGAGGTAGCGCGCAAGCGCCCACGCTTCCAGCGTGGCGTACCGCGCGGGCAGCCCGCGTAAGCCACCGCGTAAGGTCGCTGTGTCATCTTGCGTAAGGCCCGTTTTTCTACTGGTCGCTCACATGCTGCCCCGTGATCCTTTGAGCTCTGGTCCCTCTGGCTGGCACGCGCGACAGCGGCGGCGGCGGCGACAGCGACGAGCTTTTGTGGCACGCGCCGGCGCGCGCGCCTTGGCACCGCGTGGAGCAGCGAGCGCCGGCGGGGGAGAGGCGGACGTTCGCCGGCTGCGGAGGCCAGCAGCTGCGTTGCATGTTGCCCCTCTGCGGCTCCTGTCTCCTGTGGGTGCCGTATCTCCAGCCGCGCCTCCTGCCGACTCGGCGTCTGGGAGGGAGAGAGAGGCCCAGACCCCCTCGCGCTGTGAGAAAAGACACGACGGGAGGTTCTTCGCCAGTTTCGGCCTCCGGGGGCCCTCGCCGTCCCTGGGAGCGCAAAAAAACAATTCAGGACGAAAAACCAGTCCGAGCGAAGGGGTCCAGACCTCTGGAGGTCGCCGTTGCAAAAAAAACGCGACGTCGGGGGTCTGGGGAGCCAGAGAGAGAGGGGAGAGAGAGACAGACAAACAGACACCGGGACAGAGACAGAGTCAGAGACAGATGCAGGCAGGCAGACATGCATTGCTACATGGCTTCCTGTATACCAGAACCGTTATCAGCCTCGTCTCGATTGCATGTTGTGAGTATTTTGTAACGTGAGGGAATTCTTTTGAGAACTCAACTCACGTCATCCTGACCCCCAACGCGCGATAGAATGGGCCCTCCAACCGCCACCATGTTCCGTGTCCAGGAAATGATGGAAATCCACCGACGAACTCCAAACCGGCGCCCTCGCGTGGGACATCCTCAGAAAATCAGCTCCCCGAGGCCTCAGAGGCTGCGGGAAGTCCAGCGACGATTTCCAAACCGGCGCTCGCGTGGAACATCCTCAGAAAACCGACCCCCGACCCTCCCCAAGGAGGCTCTCAGACACGCGCCAGGGCGCACCAGGCGTGTCCCCGTCCGGGGCTCTCGCCTTAGACATCCTCCCAAAGTCGGCCCCAGGCGCGCGCGAAAGACGGCCCCACAGCGCCCCCGGGACCACTTCCGGAGATCTGCCGACGCGCGCCAGGGCGCGCCAGGGCACACCGGGCGCGTCCCAGTCCGGGGCTCCAGCTTCGACCCCCGGCGCGCGAGAAAGTTAAGCCCCACCGCGAACCCATGGACTATTTCCAGGGATCTGCCAGCGCGCTGCCCGGCGCGCCAGGGCGCATAGGGCGTTTCCCAGTATGGGATCTCGCCCGAGACATCCTCGTAAAAGTCGACCCGTGCGTGGCCCAATCGGGGGCTCCCGCTCGAGACACCCTCGCAAAGTCGCTAAATTTTCCCCCGAGGGAGGCCCCCGAGGACGATGAGGAGGAGGAGGAGGAGGAGGAGGAGGAGGAGGAGGACCAGTGCAAACACAAGATTCATCAACGATGTTGGAATACACCCTCCCTCCAAGCTCCATTTTCATAGGCCCCTACAAAGTTTCATTCTCACTGAGGGAAGTGTCCTGTAGTGGGACAGCCGTGTGAAAATCCTCAAGCGTGCCAAAACACCGCTCTCAGAATTTCACCACTACGAGTCAACACAACGATTGCGTCTTGACGACCCGATCCGTGCCAGAACACCTCTCTTGGGACTTCAACATCGCGAATCCATGTAATGGTTGCGCCCTGACAGCCCTGAATCGTTCCAAAACGCCGTTTGGGGTAAGTTAACCATGAGAATCAGTGGAACACTTGCAAAGATTTAACTTTAAACAAATGCGCGCGGCGCTAAGGCGAGCGCCACATTTTGAAAACCAACCGCCCTCAATCCGTGAAGCGATTGCAAATTCTTAAAACGAACGTGCGCAGCGCTAAGGCGACTGCCAATTGTTCGGGGAGGAGGAGGAGGAGGAGGAAGAAGAGGAGGAGGAGGAGGAGGAGGAGGAGAAGGAGGGGAGCAGGAGGAGGAGGAGGAGGAGGAGGAGGAGTTGGAGGAGGAGGAGGAGGAGAAGGAGGAGGAGGAGAAGGAGGAGCAGAAGGAGGAGGAGGAGGAGGAGGAGAGTTGGAGAAGGCGGAGGAGGAGGGGGGGAGCACTTTCACTCTCCTGATCCTCACCCTCGCGAGATTCTCCCTCCTGATCCCCACCCTCCTCATCCTCACCCGCTGCACCACCGCCTCCGGCTCATTCTCCTCTCGCCCACAAGCACACGCCATTTTCATTTATACAGAACCCGCCCACGCTCAACCGCAGAGCCGCCGGCTAGTATTCTGGCTGAAGTCACCTCGCGGTGACTTGCTCTTCCAGCAGCACGATCCGCGCAGAGAGTTCCCCGTTCATGCCGTCGCCTGTGCTCCTGAGCTCGCTCGCGCTGAACTGGAGCCAGGCTGCGTGGTGGCTCGCCGCTCGGCATGCGCCGGAGGTCATCGGGGTCTGGGGCATCGCTGGGACGCGATGCGTCTCGGCGCTGGGCGGGGCCGTGGGTGCTGCCTGCTCGTGGGGCTGGGCAGCCCTGCAGGCGTTGGGCTTCTGCTTCGGCTTCGGGGCGGCGTTCGCCCGGGAGCAGCAGGGAGCCGGCGACACGCGGCGGCTGCGCCTGCCGCGGAGCCGTCCGCGGGGCGGTTCTCGCGAGGTGGCGCCTGAGGGTCCGAGCTGCATCGGCGCGTCCCTGCCAGAGGGCTCGGCGGGCCGAGGGTGCACGCCGACGCGAGCTCGCAAGTGCGTCGACCGTTCAGGAGTTCGGGCTGCCAGCGATGGCGCTGGCTGGTGGTGCTGGCGGCGCGTCAGTCGGAGCTGCCCCATCTGTCCCACGGTCAGAGGAGCGCGGCGCGGTGCTCTGCTTCGGCCAGGTGCGAGGGCAGGATGGCGCCCTCGGGCTGGCGAGGTGCCCACTGCCCGTCCCATCGGACGGGATGCTGGTGGCAGCCACGCCAGCGGGAGCGGCTGCACCCCTAGGCCCCGCCCCCTGGCTGCGGGACCAGGCGCGGCCGCGGCGGCACGAGGGGCCGTCGCGGATCTGGGCTTGGTGGCGGTGAGCGCGCCCGACGGCGCGACGACGGCGTGGACGGCAACGGCGCCACTCGACCTGGTCACGATGCCGCAGGAGACGCGAGCCATTCGGGGGCAGCGGCAAGTCGGAGCTGGAGCCGAGTCCCCGTCCAGAGACGAGAAGGAAAACAAGGGGGAATCATAAAAACAGAAATAAAGGAGAATTCCAGCTACGACGATTCCACGAACAGCAGCAGCAGCAGCAGCAGCAGCAGCAGCAGCTCGGGCTTGCCCACCGACCCGCAGCGGCTACTCGCAGCGGAAGGACCCGAGGGCCCGAATGGCGGAGAACGAGCGGGCGAACCCTGCCCCAGGCTGCAAGCTGGAGACTGAGAGGTCCAAGGCGAGGGACGACCCGGTAGCCTTCGCGGCCAAGCGCCCCGGGGCCATCTCACTACTTCCTGGCTCTGGCGCACCGCCAGCTGGACCACGGGTGCCGAGGACGAGGTGCCGCGTCGGGCGTCGGCCCCCGCGGGGGCGCAGGCTCCCACAGGCCCCCCCCGAGCTGCAGGACCTCCGCGAGGTGCAGGCGATCGCGCTGGCCACGAGCCTGGGCAACCTGGACGGCCTGGCCGCCGCGATGGACGCGCTGGTCCAGAGGATCATCGCCACCCAGCGCGCGAGAAGCCAGGGCGGCACCTGGGGCGACGTCGAGACGGTGGAGCTGCTGACGGGCGCGAAGGAGGGAGCCGCCGCGGGGGGGGGGCTCCGGAAGCACACCACGCGACGAAGTGGAGGGGGGCGCGGCAGAGGTGACTGCGCCGCGGTGGTTCGGTGGTTCGGATGTGAGCTCGGCCGCTGCCGTGGTCGGTCTTGGCGACTGGCTGCGCTCTGCAGGCGGCCCGTCGGGGACGCCGCCTCGTTCTGGACATCTCGGGCGGCCTCGCGCGGAGGAGCCGGACAAGTCTTCGCCGGTGGTGTCTCCAGTTCAGCTGCTGCGTCGTCGCGGCGCCGAGCTCGCAGAACGCGGGCGCAAGCATGGGGGCGCGGTTTCGGTTTGGGGCGACGTGCGCACCGCTGCGTTCAACGCGCGCTCCGGGGCCGAGGCCGACTATAAAACATGGTGCCGGGGCAAGCTCAGCGGCGCGCGCAGGGCGCTGGGCGCCCCCCGCTTCGTCGAGGCCGAGTTGGCTCGGCCCGAGGCGGCGACAAGCCAAGAGGTCCGACGTTAACAAGCCGACGAGGTGCGTCGCGGAGCCCCTCGGTGAGCGCGGCGGCGTACCCGACAGCGCCGCCATCGTGGACCTGGCGGGCGCGCTGGACGAGCACTTCCCTGGCCTTGCTGACCAAGTACGTCATCCACGCTCGTTGCTCCTGAGTGCGGGCCAGCGCCCTGCCAGGCTGAAGAGACCCCACACGTTGACGGGCCTACTAACCCTCGGCTCGCGGCGTGCAACGTCGCCGCGGGCCAGTCCTGGCCCCGCCATCGCCGCCGCTGCTGCAGCTCGTGCACGGATGGTCCTGCAGGTCTTCGACAGTGTCTTCCGCCTCGAGCACCGCCACCATCGCCTGCTGGGCGTCGGCTCTGGCTCGCTCGAGGTGCCTCTCAGCCTGAAGGAGCCGAGAAGGGGGACTTCCAACCTGCTGTGATGCTGCCAGCTCCTGCTGCGCTGGCTGAGCCAATCATGCTGTTGCCATGGCTCTCTTCTGTAACAATTTGTCTCGACGGGACTGGTTGAGGCAACCTGACATCTCGCGGAACTTATCGTCTGGCAATTCCATTAAGTTGGCCACCTCTTGATCCGACAGGGGTTGCCTGGACCACGCGCCCCCAACGGGAGGAGGATCACGCACAGCAGGGGCAGGAGGTTTCTCAGCCGCTCACCCTTAGCGCCTGGACACTCGGGACTGGATGCCAAGACTGGTGACCCCGGCCGAACGGGCAGCTCGCCGTAAGTTCAGTGCCGCGGAAAGTTTGGGGCGCTCGAGCGTGCCCCCCCTGCCCCCCCCCAATGCGCCAAAACTCAAAAATTAGAAGCCACTCTGCAATTTGAGCCAAAATGGTTACGGATCAGTGATCCTCCACCCGCTGCGCCCCCCAGCGTGCACGAATTGCAAGGGCAGAGCCTGGTCAGGATTGTATTAAAAATCAGGCAGGTACCACTGTGCCGCTCCTTCGTGCCGTAACTTCATGCCCGAAGGATGGACGCCGTCCTGCTTCAGGTGCCAGAAGAGCACATGGGACGGCCAGTGGCGGGGTCTTGCCTCGCTCAATGCGGGCAAGGGCTTCGTGTGCAGATTTTGTTGGCTCGAGGAATGCACGGAGGCAGACCTGCCCAAGTGGCAGCGCTGGTTCACGCACCGACAGAACATGTACGGTCGTGCATTTCCCCCCAACCCCTCCGAATGGAGGCTCCAAGCTTGCCCCGCCGCACTTTAAGGCCTGGCGCGGCTCGGCGCTCCACCCTTTTGGGGGGTGTGCCCTCCTGGATATTCCAGGCCTGCCGTGCTTGCGGCGCGGGTCTCTTTTTCTGTTCTGATCCCGTCGGTGCTCGGCACTTTCGGGGGGCTCCTCTCTTTTCTGGGATATTCGCGGGCGCGGCCTGGCTGCACGTGTCTGTGCCCCTCCCCGTGGTGGTCCCTCGGGGTTCGGTGGACTTTTCGTTGTTGGCTTGTTTGGTCTATGGCCTTTCACTGCTGCGCGATCGCGCGGTGCGTCAGGCTTGAGTCCTGGTAACTTGTACAGAACATTGCGTGGCCACGGGGGCATGGCCCTAACTGTGGTCCTGGAGCATTGCGTTTTTAGAACGGCTGCTATGTGTTTCTTTGGAACACGGGGTGTGGGCGCAGGCCTCACCCAGCACAGCCCGTTTTACTTGCCCCTCACGGGGCTCTTTGGTTGTGGATGTCCAAAGCTGGCAGGTCCCGCATTGCCAGTTGCTAGCACTATGCGGTGGGCCCGTGGAGGTCAAAAAATCCTCCTCCTCCTCCTCCTCCTCCTCCTCCTCCTCCTCCTCCTCCTGCTGCTGCTGCTGCTGCTGCTGCTGCTGCCCCTCCTCCCCCTGATCCTCCTCTTCTAGAGGGGAGGGAGGGGGGCGGAGGGCAGCCCCCCGTACCAGGGCGCGTTTCGCTTCCCTCTCTCCCCTCCCTCCCCCCAGGCAGCTCGAGGAGCGGCGCGAGAAGTTCGGCGAGCGCCGGCGGTGGCACGAGGCACGGGAGACTCTCAGACTCCACCTCCAATTGAAGGATGGGCAGAGAGCACCAGCGAGGAGGGGGAGGAGGAGGGGGAGGAGGAGGAGGAGGAGGAGGAGGAGGAGGAGGAGAAGGAGGAAGAGGAGAGGAGGAGGAGAGGAAGAGAAAGAGGAGGAGGAGGGAGGAGAGGAGGAGGAGAGGAGGAGGAGAAGAGGAGGGAGGAGGAGAGGAAGGAGGCTGGGGGACGAGGGCAGAGGACGACGGCGAGGACGACGACAACAATGACGACGACGACGACGACGACGACGACGACGACGACGACCACGACGACCACGACGAACACGACGACCACGACGACCACGACGACCACGACGACCACGACGACCACGACGACGACGACGACGACGACGACGACGACGACAACGACGACCACGACGACCACGACGACCACGACGAGGACCACGACGACGACGACGACGACCACGACGACGACGACGACGACGACGACCACGACGACCACGACGACCACGACGACCACGACGACCACGACGACCACGACGACGACCACGACGACGACGAAGACGACGACGACGACGACGACGACGACGACGACGACGACGACGACGACGACGACGACGACAATGACGATGACGATGACGATGCCGATGACGATGCCGATGACGATGACGATGACGATGACGACGACGATAACGACGACCATAACGACGACTATAACGATGACGAGGACAAAGGCGAGGACGGAGAGGAGCAGGGCCCGCAGGCACTGGGAACTCCAGAGGCGCCAGAGGAGGCGTTTTCGGAGCGGCGCCGGCGGCCGCGGAGACGCGGTCCAGAGACGGAGGAGGAGGAGGAGGAGGAGGAGGAGGAGGAGGAGCAGGAGGAGCAGGAGGAGGACGACGAGGAGGGGAAAGAGGAGGGGGAGGAGGAGTGTATTGTAGCATTGGTGCCCTTGAGGGTGGACGTAGCATCGTTGATGTCGGGTGGGGCTCGTGGGCCCGTAAGTCTCACCTTCTGATGGTTCTGGCGCGCGCACAAGATGACGCACTCTATAAAAGAAGCGGAGGAGGAGGAGGAGGAGGAGGAGGAGGAGGAGGAGCAGAAGCAGGAGCAGGAGGAGGAGGAAGAGGAGGAGGAGGAAGAGGAGCAGGAGGAGGAGGAGGAGGGCGAGCTGTGCGTCTCCCGCTGCCTACGCGTGTCATCTGGGAGCTCGCTCCCCCAGGCCGCGTTGGCCGCCTGGGAGACGGGGGGGGGGTAGGGCTGCGTCCCGAGGAGACTCCACTGCCCGTAGCCTCGAGGCCTCGAGGAGGAGGGGAAGGCTCGACCCCAAAAGGACAGCAACTAACCAACATAGCAAAACAACACAAAACCTGCAGGCGTGACTCCCGCGCCGCGCACGGCGCGGCCCTCTCGTGGCGCGCGCGCGCGCCCCCTCGCCCGGGGTCTGCTCCCCCGCCGCCGTCCAGCCACGGGGCCGTCGATACTTTGCGCTTCCTCGGAGCCTGGCGGCCGCTCTTCGAGGCCTGGGGCCCGGGCCAGGGGCGCAACGCAGGGCGGGATAGGCCCAGGGGCAGAGGTAGGGGCGGGAGGAAACTCCACCCCGACCCCCATAGTTGGCGCTTGCTGGAAGGGCCCTGGGCGTTCACTGCACGGCCCTGCCCTGTTCGATTCCTCCCTAGGGTGCGCTTACGAAACGCCTTTGCTCGTCGGGGTGTTTCTTATGGGGGTGGTTTTCTGGCTCTTTAGACGGGAGAGGGGGGGGGAAGGGGCCCGAGGTTCGAGGTTCGAGGTTCTCGGACGGTTTCGTCGCTCCGCGGCGGCCTTCCGGCCTCGAAGTGCCTCCCAGCGGCGACGCCTCGCCCCGGAGCGCTCGGGGGGGGCCAGGATCGTCCCGAACGGCCGCCGGGGGGCCGAGCTATGGCCCGAAAACCAAGGGGCAACGATCGGGGGGGGAAGGCTCAGCGGGGGGGGGGCGCATCGACCCCCGATCGTCCACAGATCGCCGCTGTCGAAGGAGAGAAAGCGATGTAAGCATCAACTTTCGACGGTCCGCGCGGATTTCTTGGACCTGCGCTGGAGCCTCATGGCTGCGCCTCTGTCACCGCCACTGGCGCGCTCCGCGCGCCAGGGAGGGGGGGTCCGCAGCAGATCCAAGAAATCCGCACGGGCCTTCGAAAGTTTCTGTTTATGCCGTTTTCTTGTTCCTCTAAGCAAGGGGCTTGATGGCCCACCCCGCCCAGACACGTGCGTAGTCGCTCTCGGGGGCCTACCCCCGCTCTATCGGCGACACGTCGCCGATTCCGGGTCGTGGTGTCCCCCCTCGGAGCCAATCCAATCCCCCCACGTCGATCTCCCCGCTGGGCCGCAGTTCCGACAGCCCCAGGCGACCCGTGCTCCGGGTCGCCCCATGGTGGGGGGGAGGGGCGCGAGGGGGGCCGCGCGGCAAGAGTCGCGGCCTGGGTCGCCGAGTTGCCTTCCACCCCCGGGGGGCGGCGCGAGGACGCGCAGAGGGCGCAGAGGCAAGACGCGTCACGCAGCGTGGGGCTCGGAGCGCGAAGTTGTGTGACACGGGGTGCTGGCTCGTTGCTCGCGCTTCAGTTCACGTCGAGTTGAGCTGCCTCCTCAGCTTTTTGGCCGCTGCACGTTGGGATTTACAGCTCCTCCTTCACACCATGGTTTGTTGCATTGACAGCGCGCACGTTTCGTACACTGTGATTTCGACAACGTCCGGTCGCAATTCGCGCTTCTATCTGTTGCCCGCGCTTGAAGACCCCCTGCGCCGCCGACTTAAGAATAGAGATGTATGCTTCATCGAGTCCGACATTACCTCCCCGAGCCTTGGCGGCCCCCAGTCCGTCGGATGGGTAGTGACACCACGGGCAGCTTTGGTGTAGACGTGCGCGCGCAGCAAGAGAGCGAAGGTGTCTCCGAGGAGCGGGCATGTTCGGAACCGTTACATAGTCGTCGCCCAAGTCGTCAGCTACGCCTCCTACAGGTCAGACGCCCACGGGGGCTAAGCTCGAGCATAGCTATGGCTGTCTAATGCTGTCTACATCGCGCAGAGAGAGCACCTGGACGCCCTGGGGTCTCAGGGTTGGGTTTCTTGTGGAAGGTTTCTTGTGGTCGAGCTCATCCTGTAGTTCTGGCTGCGCCAAGGCATTGCGCAGCGTCCGCGCGGCGCTTTCTCCCGTTCCTGCTGCCGTCGCCTCCCCCTCTCTGCGAGGGCTAGAGCTGGGAAGATAAGAGGAGGACATCAAGCGTTGCTCAGGTTCAGGTCCGCCCCGATTCCTAACCGCTGGACGGCCCTGGAGATCCCCAGAGGCCCCCAGAGGCATCTGGAGGCCTCCGGAGGCGTGGAAAGCGCTTCAAGCAGAACAAGATCTCACCAAACAATCCCTCCTCGACGCTCGAGCGTTGGAAAGCGCGTCGAGGTCCCTCCTCGACGCTCGAGCGCCGAGGCCCAGAGTCGGCATCGGGCGCTCTGCGTATGGTGGCCGCCCTCCGCCCGGGCGCCGCAGGCCCGGGCGGCGGAGTGGGCGGCGGCCCGGCGGCAGCTCGAGGCGAAGAGGCCCTCGCCGCAACCCGCGGGACGGTGGCGGCCCTCGCTCTCGGGAGTTCCTTCCTCCTTCTCCCGCAGGAGGCAGCCACCCCCGCCTCCATCCTCCCTCTCCTCCTCCTCCTCCTCCTCCTCCTCCTCCTCCTCCTCATTCTCCTCCTCCTCCTCCTCCTCCTCCTCCTCCCTCCTCCTCCTCCTCCCCTCCTCCTCCTCCTCCTCCTCCTCCTCCTCCTCCTCCTCCTCCTCCTCCTCCTCCTCCTCCTCTTCCTCCTCCTCCTTCTCTTCCTGCTGCTCCTCCTCCTCCTCCTCCTCCTTCTCCTCCGCGCCGCCTCATCCTCCTCTTTCTCCTCCTCCTCCTCCTCCTCCTCCTCCTCCTCCTCCTCCTCCTCCTCCTCCTCCTCCTCCTCCTCCTCCTCCTCCTCCTCCTCCTATTTCGGCGCCGACGAAGACAGCATAGAGAACGTGATCGCGGGCGTGATTATCCACAAGAGCGGGATCCCTGGCGCCATGGTGGTGGACGTGGAGGCAGGAGCTGCACGGAGGGAGCGTACCCACCTGGAGCAGGCGCTGCTGCTCCCGCTGAGGCCGCGCCGGCGGGAGGAGGAGCCTCGGCACTGGCTTCTGCTGCAGGGCTGCCCGCCAGCGTCGCACTGGAGCTGGAGCGGATCCTGGCTGAGGCGACTGCCAACCTCCACGCAACGACGTCGGCGGCCCAGACCAAGATGGCCACGGTCGTTGCCGCCCACGCCCAGGAGTGCTCGGCACGGCTCGCGGTGGTCGATGCGGATGTCGCTCGCATGCGAGACTGGCAGCACAGGATCGAAGCGTCGAACGAGGAGCTGCGTGCAGCGGTCCAGAGCATCTCGGAGGCCCTGGAGCGCGCGGAGGCTCAGGTCCCTCTCTTTCAGGCAGCTAAGCAGGAGATGTGGGACAGACCCGCCGCGCCGAACATCTTCCAAATCCAGGTCGAGACGGGTGTCACGAGCGCGGAGATTATCTGCGGCCTCGAGGAATGGTTCAAGGCTGGCATGGTGTCGAGCGGTCAGTACTCGCTGCACTCCCTCCCGTCTGGGAAACACTTCGTGCTGGAGCTCACGGGCGGTGTGGTGGGCTACGAACGCGCCAAGAGGTTGGTCACGCACCTCCGCATGCCAGGTGGGTGGAGGAGCTTCACGGCAGGGGGCCACAAGATGTACATCAACGCGGACAAGTCCAAGCGGGCGTTGCGGGTGGAGCTCCACACCAAGCGCCTTGGCCAAGCTCTGGAGGAAGTGCGTGGAGGAGCTGGGCGCTGGTGGTCGAACAAAGCGAAGGGGGAGGTCAAGTTTGACAATGTGGAGGTGGCCAGTATCGTGGTCTCGGAAGAGGATGCCCCGACGGAGCTGCGATGGAACAACCCGATGGTGGCGAACCTGGGCATCGACAAAAGCAAGGTGCAGGAGGT